AAAATTATGCATTAATTACAGGAGTAAGTAACTAATTAATGAGAGAGATCAATTGAAGGCTGGTTCGTTGGTGTGTTAGCTGGATTGTCTTAGCATCGATGTGGAATCAAATCCCACAACCCGCACTTTGGGAAAAAAAGGGGTAAGGGGAAAAGTTATTGCTGATTAACCAAAAAAAAGATTAATGAGAGAGAAATTGCACTTAAATATAAGAATAAATATAAATTAATGAGGTAATTTGGCCATAAATATAATTTAATGAAATTAATGAGACAAAAGGGGATTTGTATCAGATTGTATCGGCCAATATAGACTCGAAACACGAGCTTGCACCAAAAGGCGGTTCTATTTTTTGGTTGATTTTTAAAACCTTAAATATACACACAAAGAAGATAAGAAAAGAGGAGTGAGAAAGAGAGACTGAGAGAGGATACAATATTTGGTGTCTTCGTGCTTTTTCTCTTTGCCATTATTTTTGTACCATGTGAAATGATTTTAGGGAAATTATATATGTATGCCTCCCCTAACTTTATTTACAATGTCTAAAACTTCCACCAACTTTATTACCAATGAAAGGCCATATACAAATTTACCTAAACCTATCCTACGGTTTTAAGTATTACTAAATGACCCCTTATAATTTGCAAACTCTTTGCTTATCACTGATTTTCTTACATGGTTAGTAGAAAAATAGCAATTTTATATGAAAAAAATAAAATGTTGATTTTCTCCTAGATAGGTTTTGTTTCCAAAAGGTTTATATGAGAACTACCAAGGGTATTTTCAGAATAAAAAACCCTAGGCCCATGCATTTCTCGTTTTAAGAGATCACAAACCATTCTCAAAGCAATTACAAACTGTAGGAGGTGTTTTATAACACACAAACTATAGGATAGGTTTTAATAAATACTTGAAGCTATAAGGAATGTCTAAGTAAATAACCCATAAAATGATTGACTTTTTTTAGGTAATAATCTATCTATACTATATATAAAAATGCAAATGCAAAGTGAAAATTTTTTGGACTAAAATTACCCTCTATTTCTTTGTTTGAGAAAGGGTATAAAAGTCATTTTATTACAACTTTACTCCTATCTTTTATTTCTACTAAGATGCCTGTATTTGTGTATTTAGTCCATCTCTAATTGTAAGGGTTGAAAATGTAACTTCAATTATTACTTTTCACATCATTTAATTTTCTCTCATTAACTCTTATACTTAAGGTATTAATTCCCACTTTCTCTTGTTAAGTCCTATATTTATGTTATTTTTCACTAACAAATGTTGCTAATTAGATCTATGCCAATATTTTTAACAATATAAATCTATATATTTTAGAACTGACTAAAAAAAATCATTATTTATCCAAGTGGTGGCTAAGCAATTGAACCATCTGAATCAAATTGATCAACCTATGAAGTCATAGTTAGGTAATAAATTTTTTAAAATAGAAATAAATATAGAAAAATTAAACACATTTATGATATTTTTATCAATCAAATTAAAAAAATAAGTGTAACAAACAAGAATTATTTTTATTGATAATGAAAATGAAATACATAATTTACAATAGACCAAAAAAGAAATTAGTTTACTATTTGGCAAAGATCAATAGTTCAACTTCTTGGTCAAATGTGTTAATATTTAATGTTATAAATAAATAATAAAAATCAATAAAATATAAAAATACATAAATTTTACAAAAAAATATCTAGGCACATGTATAATATCATATAATTCATATTAAACAAAAAGTAAGTGTAATATATCAGAATTATTTTTACACACAAAAATACAAAAAAAAAAATTGAACACATCTATACTTTTATATTCATTACTATTACAAATATGAATAAGATTGTGGAACTTTCTTTTGACTAAAATACTCAATTTTGAATTCAGTCCCTATTTAGTTGTGAGGCTTAAATTGTAAATTGAATTACTACCTTTCACTTCATTCAATTCCCTCTATTTAAATCTTACACCTTTTTTGATAAATGAACAAAAAAAGATACACCAAAAAAATAAAACATTACATAAAAGAAGAATCTAGCCAAGCAAATTAATCTATTAATGATACTTGAAACTTCACAACTCAATCCGATTATCACATATTTGGATGAGGTGTTTATATAATTAGATTTGGATTTTGCAGTCTACATTCAATTAATAATAAAAAACAAAAAAAATAAAAAATACATAAAGTTTATGGAAATTTTTGGATACTTTATTATTATTATCACTATCATCATGTAGAATTGCCATGTCAAAGCATGTGTATGCTTACTAGTATAAGACATGCTACACAAATCTAGGCTTGAGGAGAAGCACATCCCTGCACATCCTTAAGGCAATATACTTTGGTAGTAAATTATATTATTTGAGATAAATAATACTATTGCCTTGTATCTTTGTTGACCAATTAGCAATTTCATTAGCCTCCCCATATAAGAGTATCTAGCTCAAAAATTCATCTCCCTCACCATGTTATGATAGTCATTAATTAATAAAATTTATGATTTTCCATGGGGTTCAATTTTACCTTGTATGCTTTTATAAGCACTACCTTGGAGTCTTCTTCAACCTAATTGATCTTGCTTTACTCTAATCTACCATCCAGTGACTGCATAGGGATGTTGTTTAATGAACTTTCATGTTTATAATTTGTCTTTTCTTGCCACTTCTTATCATCTTGGATTGGCCCCTTGTTTACTTTTCACTCTCCACACATTATTTATATACTAGTGTAAGGGCACATGCAATATATGTATACTAGTAAAAATAAGTAAAAACAAAAGATGAAAATACATTTAGATTTTTATAGTTTTTTTACAATTAATACTCCTTAAAATGTCTTGATTCATTAATTTTTTTAAACCAATTAAAGAGAATCTATTCAACTGAATGAAAACTGCCTTGTACAATATGAAAATGAATGAATTGTGGTTCAGAAGACCACCTATAGATGCACGGGTTAGAATGTCTTATACAATTCAAGAGTATTTGTTGAAGAATAGATACTTTCTTGACTAAAATACCTCTATCTTTAAATTTGGCCACTCTCAAATTCTGAGGGCATTTGTAATACTACTTTTCACCTCATTCAATTCCCTCTCAGTAATTCTTATGTTTAAGGTATTAACTCTCATTCTCTGTATTTCTTCTCATCAATAAATTATGCCAGTTAAATCTAAATTCAATACTTTTAACAATATAAAACCTATGTATAAAAATAGACCCACAAACAAAATTATTCTTCCATCGAGATGGTGGATAAGAAATTCAACCATCCAAGTCAAATGCATTAAGACATGTTGTCATTGTTAATAACAGTAGATTTTTAAATAGAAAAATTAAAATTTTAAAACAAAAAGGAGAAAAGAAAAACAAAGGAATACTTTTTTCTTTTAGCAACTTGCAACCATTATCTTGGTTCTTCAAGGTAACTAAAAGTAGTATATTCCCATAGCCTGTTTGGTTCAAATAGGAATCGGAATGGGAATTGAAACCAGCTGAAATGGAATTTCATTCCCAATGGAGGGGGAGGGAATGGCCATTCCCTCAAATGGGGGAATTCCATTCCACCAAGAATGGGAATTGGATTCTGATTCTGCCCAACCAAACAGTTGGAATCGGAATGGCCCATTCAGATTCCAATTCCAGACCCCTATTCTCGTAAACCAAATAGGCCCTTAGCTCTATGAACCACATACCTAAGAAGATAAATTTGTTAGTGAAAGAAGTGTTTCCTTTTATCTTCTTCTTCAATTTTCTGTATTCTTGTCTATAAAATGGATTACATTTTGACTTACTTGGGAATGCTACTAATGTAGTTCAATGACGGGAATGAGCAATCTTGGTCTAATACTCTTCCCCTCCTTGCAACCGCCTTCATTCTTAGTTCTTCAAGGAAATTATAAATAGTTCATGAAACTGGTGGGTAGGTGCTTAGGCTTCATATGTGGAGACCACTCAATGGTCAATTCCTGGAGAGGGTTGAGCTTGTCCAGCCACATGGACGAGGACTTGAGATTCATGCATCCTTTGATTACCAATCTTTGAAGAGAGGCGAGACCTTGCAACATTGCTAGGGGCAGGGATGCTGTATTTTCAAAATTAGCAATTTCCAAGTTGGACAGTGAGGGGCATTGATACAACCAATTCAATATCTTCTCATCACATTGTACTAATTCTAGATCATAAGCAGATGGAAGCCTTGGAAGATAATTCAACATTGCACAATACATGATTTCCACCTTTTTTACAGTAGGAAGCAAGGGTGGAAGTTTCACCAATTTGGGACAAGATTGGATGCAAAGTTGCTTAAGGCTAGGAAATTCACCTTCCTCTGTTCCCCATCATTCTTTCAGACTATCCATACAACTAAGATGTAATATCTCTAACATTTGAAATCTCAACTGCTTGTTATTGTTGTTGTTATTGCTGTGCCCATAGAACTCCTTACCCATATATTCCATTTTCTTCATACTGGATATATGCAATTGTTTCAGTGAGGGTAGATTCCCCAAAGGAGGCAGAAACTTGCACTTGTTGCAGAATTTGAGTTCCACAAGAGTCAGCATATCATAAAACATGATGATCTGCTTCATCATCATCCAGGTTGGATAACTTAACCCACCATAACCATGTATAAAGAGACGCTTCAACCTCGTAGAAGGTCGTAGGCCCTCAAGTACGCTCTCAACACTTGCTTCATTATCATTATTATTATTCTTATTATTATAGTTACAGTTGTTCCAATGCAACACTAACTCGTTGATTCCATGCTTATTGATGAGGTTAGCCTTTTTGGCCTCTTCAAAGTCTTCTACACTCTCTAGCCTTAAAATAAAAATGGATCCTTGGATATAAAACAAATCCTTTAACTCTTCAATTGTACTACTACTGTTAATTCCATTAATCTTTCTAACATGAAACAGAGGCAGTTTCTTCAGAAAACGTAATCTCCCAATGCCGCCTCTTATTAGACTTAATTTCTTCTACATGTCCTTATTCATCTCTATGTATTGGAGGTTGATTAGGTTTCCTATGTTTTCAGGAATCTCATCAAGCTTATAGCAATGTTCAAGCATCAAAGTTTGCAAATTGTAGAGGCTGCACAATGAGTCAGGCAACACTTCAATGCCAGTGTAGTTGAGGTTAAGAAAGCATAGATGTTTCAAATTGCCAATTGAATCTGGCAAGCTATCCAATCCATCATTGCCACTCAAATCCAATACAAGCAGGCATCGGTATTGTTCAAATAAATCACTAGGGATATGCCAGTCACATCTTGATGATGAGAAAAATATTAATGTAGACAAGTCCTTATATTTATATAGTTCCTTCACCATTGATGATTCTGGTTGGGCATCAATCATTGATATGTAATGAGCCTTCTCAGAGATGATGCTGCCATTTCTTTCTGATTTTCCTTCCTCCACCCTAAGATACAAGCCTTTCGAAATCGACTCCGCCAAATCATGCATTAGATCATGCATCACAAATGTGTTTCCATAATAACCTGAATACTTTTGGAAGAAAGACCTGTAGTACAATTCATCAAAGTATTTGCCACTAAGGTCTTCCATAATCTCAACTTGTTTACATGCAATAAAACCTTCTGCCATCCAAAGTCGGACAAGAGCTTTCTTATCAAATATATAGTCCTTAGGAGACAAAGAGCAGTATGCAAAACATAATTTCAAGTGTGTTGGAAGGTGATAATAACTCAGACGTAGAGCCGGTAGTATTTCATCATCTCCTTCTAACTCCCACATTTCACTTTCTAAGATAGAAGTCCACTTGTTCACATCCAGCTCATTGTATAGAAGACCTCCAAGTGTTTTTACTGCTAAAGCAACTCCTTTGCATTTTTTAACAAAATTTTCTCCAATCCTTTTCAAGTTTGGATGTGTATCATATATCTCATCATCAATAAAAGCTTTGAATTTGAACAATTGCCACCCATCTTCATATGGTAATCCTTCTAAATCAATAGTTTCTATGGAATTCATAATGGAGGAAACTTTTCTAGTCCGAGTGGTCACTACAATTCTACTTCCTTTCTTGGCTGCAACATTTAATGGAACTCTTACTGCATCCCAAGTTTTGCGGTCTTCAAACCATATATCATCAAGCACAAGTAAAAATCTCTTCCCACTTAAACTGGTTTGTAGTTCACATTGGAGTGGTTGTAGGTTTTCAATATCCCATTTTCCCTTGGTCATTGACTCAAGAATTGATCTAGTTATTTTAATAATATTAGATTCTTCAGAAACACAGACCCAGGCTCTCACCTCAAAATGCTCAACTACTTTTTCATCATTGTAAATGAGTTGAGCGAGTGTTGTCTTACCTATTCCCCCAATACCAACTATGGAAAAAACAGGGACTTTTTTCATATCATATTTATCAGATAATAGTAGGTTTATTACATCATTTGCCATTTCCCTCCTACCAAAAATTTCAGAATCATCAATTATGGAACTACTCTTAATACGTTTGTCTAGTGATGAAATAGTTTGAAGTCTCCTTTCTGTTTCATCATGGCACCATTTGTCTGAGCTGATCAAGTTGAGATACTTGGATTCAATCTTTTCTTTGATTTCAATCTACTCAGTTTTCAAACCAGTTATGACACTTGGAATCTCTTGTTTACGTAATATTTGGTCTTCATTGAAAGAGAAATGGATAAATTGGCCTACCTTTCCACTAACACTTTGCCGATGAGCTTCATAGATGAAATTGTCCACTGTGACTGTGGCTTTGAAAACAAATTGTCTCAAATCACCAAGGAAAATTGGCAAGCATGGATCTCTTATTTGCATATCCTCAATGGAACTAACCATTCTGTTAATCAATTGGAGAATTGCAGACAGGTCATCCAACTCTTCCCTGGTGCTCCACTGCTTTCCAAAATCACTCATAACGCTGGAGTCCAACTTGTGAAGCAATACTTGAACCAGAGGAGACACCACCACGTCTGCACCTGTTGCCATGCCTTCGAATCCTTGTAAAGTGGAAGAACAAAATGAATGAAGTCTGTACTTCGAGATGAATAGTCCAAAGAAACACAGGTAGATCTTGGACAATTCAGTGGTTGAATTTTCTCGCTTATCTGATTAAATCCAGGCATGCGTGTGAGTGTCCACACAAGGTCCTCTTTTTGTTATATATAGGATAATTATGTGAAACACCCTCCACTTTTCTGACTTGTTTTGAAGTTAACCCTGACTCTTAGATACCTTCAGAGACCCCCCCTGTCACACACTTTCTCTTAAAAAACTAATTACGGTGTCTGCAAGACTACAATGATACCCTCCATTCAATTTTTTCTTTCTTAAAAAAAAAAGTTCCAGCTTCATTCTTCCTTACCTACTTTTCTCCAATGCAGACTTAGCAGAGAAAGCAAAACCTGGGAAATCAATTGCAGCAGCAAAGATTAATTCCATTAGAACATAAGGATTGAACCATTTGGCAGAAAGAAAATTGAGCAATCTGATTGCAGAAACTTCTATAGAAGATCAATTTGGATTCACATGATCTTTAATTGTTTACCCTTGGAATGACGAAGGTGCAACTTGGTTTGAAAATTAAGAAAACCCAAACTTTTGACCCCAGGTCCAGCTCAATGACTAAAAATTCAAGCCCAGCCCATGTAAAATTGTGAACTGGATCAGCTTAGGCTTGGGTTGGACTCACCCAAATTGCAACCCTACATTTACATCTGTAAGGAATTTGATTTTTTTTAGTTGTCTTTTTTTTCTTATGTTATAGTTGTCACTAATCGAAGGTTGAATGTCTTGTGAGAACAAAAAAATGTAGCAGATAAAACAGCTTTCAAGTTTGGAAGAGGCTTAAAATAGAGAGTTTTGTACCATAAAATTATAAATTTGAAGCTTTCTAGAAAAAATCAGATTAAATTACAATGTTCATGCTTTGGCATCTTATGTGATACCTCCTGACTCCAGAGACACATCTTTGAACAATAAAAGCATGAATGAAACGACTCCGGATCTCCTACCCACGTTTACCCACAATACACTATCCCTGTGAATTGGGTACATCTCCCCTGCATAATACTATGTAGGAGGATGAGATCTTCTCCATGTGTGGTTGCAATGTTATGTGGTTAGACTTGGGCAGAGTTTGTGTGGACAGGAGATCCAGACTCAAATGGAACTATTTAAACTCACCCACCTAACACTCTAATAGTACTAGTTCGGTCATCTAGGCATTCCATAGATCTCTTCTAACTAAGTTAAAAGTGGGAATTGTAAGTACATGCAGTTCACTATCATCATGACTATGGTGGGGTGTTAAAAGAAAAATGGAGAAATCCTAACCGGGACACCTTTGTAATAGAACAACGACACTTTATCAAAGAAATGTAAGGCCAATGCACTTGCAATGAATATAGGAGGCCATCCTACACTTGCGATGTGCATGAAGCGCCATTCGAGACCTGCGATGAACAAAAAACACCTCCCCAGACCTGCGATAAGCAATTAGCGTCACCTGAGACTTTCAATGAACATAAAATGATATAGCAAGAGCCCAATGCACTATAAACACCTTGCGATGAGAATGAAATGACAACTCCTATTGTAACGAATGAAAGATAGACCCCGAGGTCGACAACACCCACTTACGGGAGATTGGTATTCCTTTTGTTCACAGCCGGTTGTGATGAGATGCCTCAGAGGCGACCGAGCAAAACACCCAAATACACCAGTCAGATCCAGGCGATCGAGCAAAAGACCCAGCTTGAAGATGGATCACAAGACAAAGTTATTGTTGGAAACCCTCCTTATGACTTATCGAGGAAGAGAAAGGCGGGAGTAATCCCTCTCAATTAAGAGATTCACTAATTACTCGGACACCCTCTGCGATGAACAAAGATGTACTTTCTTTTATCTTCTCCATATTGGTATTAGTTCCATCGTGCAAATGCTTTAATATGCTATACTTGTGCTTGGAATCAACAATTTGAGTTAGAGTGCTGATTTGAGAAGAATCTCTTCTTTTTAGGAAAATTTATCTCTAGAAGAAACACTAGGGTAGTGTTTAAGACACATTTTATTACTTTTAGACATATGATTCTATAGTCCGTACTGTACTTCGAACAAAATGAGAAAGTAAAGGGCAAGGGAGTGGTTGTAGGCAGAAGACCTCTTGAAGTTCCTACAGAGCAGAGTCTTGTCAATTTTCACACTTGATTACCCTTCAACATCCTATTTGCTATGAAATGAAACAGTCTCCTACGATCTTCGCTTCCCTATTTTACAAATGTCCTAACATTGCATGTTTATTTATTGATCAAGCTATTTAGGAAAGAGCTCTGCCCTGCGTAGACAGATAAGGGCAATTTTTTGCCCTGAATATCAATAAAAGATAATATATTTATAAAATAACAAAAAGTAAAGTAATTTTTTTCTGAAAATTATCAAGAAAGGGCTTCTTCTCTTTCGCCCTCTCCTTCTCTCTCTTGCTCTTCTTACTAAGCAAGAGAGATTCACGTATATGAAATAAAATGGGTCATGGCATCTTCAACGTCGACGGAGATACATTCCCGCCCTTGCAGAGTTACAGTTCATCGTCGACGGAGATACATTCTCCTTCGCCCTTGCAGAGCTAAAGCAAGTTCATATACGGGAACTGTTCATTGTCTTCCTCTGGGGTCGTTGAAGTTTGTATTGCCTCTGGTGCAGTATAAGTCTTCAGGGGAGTGGTGCCAATGGTGTCAACATAAATGTCCCCATCATAGAAAAGGCTCCCTCTAATGGAGGACTACCTACTCAAAATAAAGAATATAGCAGATGCTCTATCTGCTACTGGTGAGCCATTGATGGAGTCTGGTATGGTTTAACAAACCATAGGACTCCCACATGATTATGATAACTTTACCACTGTTTTTCTCACAAGGCCATTGATGATTTGTAGCCTTCTATTACAGTATGATATCAAATTGCAACGATCAAGAAGGTTTGCATCATTAGTCATGTCTCTACAAATCTTCCAACCAAAGCAAAAGGAAATTTGCCATATTTTGAACCATTTGGAAATTGATCATACTCTAAATATGGAAATCATAACTTCTCCGAATCTTGAGAGAAAGAAAGAACATCACATCCAAATTGTAGGTACAAAGGCAGTCCTTGTTAGATATATAAGTTCAAGATTCTAAATATCAATACAGGTCGATGTATCAGCTTGTATCAGTGCTTTTTTTATATTTTATTTATTTTTTTCAAAACCAGTTCAGAGGAGTCGGTTTAAGTCCCAGTTACCCTTTGAATCATGGCCTGACCTGTGTAGGGGTGTATTGGAAAGGCCCCAATACGATACATATCGGCCAATATAGGCTGATATATAACGATATTTTGAACCTTGCATGAGTTTCCCAATCAGCACTCTGCCTTGACCTGCCACAATAGGTTTGATACCTCTATCAGATACAACCTAAGAAAGCATGCTACCTATAATGTTGAAACCTCATCACTAGTGACAGACAACTGCTGGTATGTTGATTTGGGGGTGACACATCATATGCCACCAATGGCATTAATAATATGAAACTACATTCTGATTGCAATGGTTCAGGTTTATAGATTTCTCATATTGGTGCTTCTTCTATTTTTATAGTCATGGTCAATCTTTACTTCTTCATGATGTTCTACATGTGCTTGGTGTTACTAAAAAACTACTATCTATTGCTTGTTTTACTTCTAGCAACGACATATTCTTTGAATTTCATCCTTCCAGCTTCTATGTGAAGACCAAAAACACTTTTGGAAGGAGTCACTAATCAAGGTTTCTACAAGATTCCATCATTTACACCTATAACCTTCATTGGTGAATGAGTTAATCTTGACACATGACACCAACGCCTGGGACATCCTTCTCTTCAAGTTGTAAAGCAACTAGTGCTCGAGAACAAGTTTCCTGTAACCTCTAATAAAGCTTTGTCTTTCTGTTCTACCTATCAGCTTGACAAAGCACATAGACTTCCATTCTTACCTAGTTAATTTCGAGTTGTGTCTCCACTTGAACTTGTTTATTCTGATTTGTGGTGACCCTCGCCCATTGGTTCTCATGCTAGTTACAATTATTATGTTAGTTTTGTTGATGCATTTAGTAAATATACTTGGATTTTTCCGCTGTGCCTGTGCATAAGAATGATGTGGAATCTATTTTCATTCATTTCAAAAATCAAGTGGAAAATTTATTTAACCTTTAGATCAAAATGATTCAAACTGATGGGTGTTCTAAATACAAGCCCCTCAAATCATTTTTCTCTCATCATGGTATTATTCACAAAACTATATGCCCACAGACGCTACACTAGAATGGTACAATCGAGAGAAATTAAGCATAGACATATTATTGAATTTGGCCTTTCCTTATTGGCATCGGCCTCTGTTCCCAAGTCAAAGTCTAAATGGTTTGAGGCTTCCTACATTGCGGTTTTCTTATTAGATGCCTTCCTATAGTATCTCTCTATTACAGGTCACCTATGTGGAAATTCTATTTGGATGAAAGTATAATTATTTATCTCTTTGCATTTTCGCTGTGAATGCTTTCCATACATAAGGCTATACAGTGTACAGAAACTTGATTTCCGAAGCATCGACCCTCCTCTTATTCTTTCCTCCACTTCCCTTTCCTCTTCACCTGAACTCTTCTTCCCCATCTACATCCTCACCTCCACGTCTTAATTCTCTTAACGAAGTGCTTATACTTATCAGATCCCATACCACCACCACCACCTACTCCCTCTCCAATTGAAGATGTTAATTATGACATATCACCACCTTCTCAACCATCCCATGGACCCTTACCATCTCAACCTATTGAACCATGTGCCGTGGTTTCTCTTCAATGCACACATATAATGCTCACTCGCTCCCTTACCGGAACCAAAATACCTAAACTCTTTCTCTCAACCCTCTCTCTTGACAACACTGAACCTAAAACAGTTCACTAAGCCCTCTCTCAC